TTCCCTAATAGTTTCATAATCATGAGAAAGAAGAGCAACTTTTTGTGTTAAAAAATGATGACAAGGTCTTAATTTTATTTTGTTCTCTTACCTTGCCACAATATATAGTGAACAGATTTGGAAAAATTATTTTTTTGTCCTATCTCATGACACTGATCATATTTTAATATTCTCAGGATGCTTTTATATGTTTTCTGATACAATGTACCATGAAAATAGATGTATTTTGAAATTTATGTGTACATTTACTTGTCAAAAATCAGAGACTAGGAATCGTTTTATTGTGAACTTAATTCTATTAAAATTTTTGAATATACTGAATATAATCCTGCAGATTCTGAAACTGAGTACAATATCTATGTAATTAGCTTAGTTCACATTCAGACCTCATTTAGTGTATCAATATAATTCTTTTCTACCAAGGAAAAGTAGTTTTTAAGTTTTAATCACTTGAATATTTTATTCTTTTATTAACTCTTGGGAGGCTGATCTATAGGAAGAGCTCCAAATACTTTAGGAAACAAATTATAACATGTTTCATTAATGAAAATTCTAGAAGGTTGGTATAAATAGTTTATTTTCCTAAGTCATTTCTGCCTATACTAGTACAGATTTACGTCTTTTACAGAAACATTATATTAGTTTATGGTTCCTTAGTCATCTGCTAGGAAAATATATTTATTTTGTAAAATAGAATATGCATAATTTCTAATATATGAACTATATTTACATATATGTTATTTGGTCAGAGTTACTCTAATGAAAAATAAATAGAAGTCTAAATATTTGATATTTAATTTTAATTATTGTAAATTATAAAATGAATATCTCTTCTGAGAATTTTTGCTTTTAATAAAATAATCAATTATAATTTTTAAGTATTATTTTGTGTTTCAATTTTACATTGTATTTTCATTTAATTTTAATAATTTCTTTTTCTTGTACTTTTTTGATCTGTTGTCTGTTTTGTCTAATGCATGTCCAGGGTTCTAAGGTTAGTATTACTTTAGTAATTTTCAGGTTTTCAGTTTTAAATTTTATTTTTGCTTATTTATGAAATTTTTGACTTGGTTATATTTTGAGTTTCCATATCATCTTTAACATTAGGCATATCTTTGCTATATTTAAAAGATTCATTAAAATTATTATTTTTTAGTATATTGATTGAATTACTATTTTATTGTCCACAATAATCTTTAAACTTTCGTAACATAATAAAAACAATAATATTTCAGTCATATGTACAATCAGATGTTAAATGGTTCCAATGAAAGGAAATTGGATGGAATATATGTTATTTTAAGATTTAGCCATAATCATGAGAGTGATCTTTATTTTTAAACCTATGATGTAATAGTTATATAACATTTCATCAAAATTATAAATTACTTTCATATAGAATATAATAAGAACTCCCTTTTAGGTTATTGTTTGTGTTAAGGATACTTTTTATTTTAAAATTTTATTTTATTTAAACAAAAATAACATTTTGGCAAAGTTTATGGACAATTAATAGTTATGTTTGTAATTTATGTATGTAATTCACTCATTTAAAAATGAAAGCATATTTTGAAGGATAGATTTTGTGCAACCCAAAACACTCAAAAATAAGACCATTATCTGATAAAGTGAGTTAGATTTC